GGTCAGAGGGGTAGCGCAATCCACAGATGTAGGAAACTGACAGGCAATTCACCATGAAATAAAACAAAATTGCCGTTTTGCAGTAATCAACGGTTACCGTATCCTCCCCTCTGACTTCATCTGCTGTAATTCCACCCTCGTCTTTCCACACTTGTGCACGTCAGATTTTAGATCTGCTTTTCCATGTAGAGAGAATTTTCTCAGTGATTTCTATTCTCATATTCAAGATGGAAATAAGTCAAAAGTCCTTTTTGCTTCCAATCAGCCAAGTGTAGGCTAGTTAGCTATAAGACGGTTAATCAAAGGATTAGAATGGCCAAAACAACAGATAGCGATGACAAAGGGCGAAGCTTTCATAGAATTCATCAAATAAGGTCTCTAGACCATCGATGGACAGGCCATTAAACAGTGAATCAATACCACCGAAGGCCAGTGTCATTGCTTATATTGATTAAAATAAAATGACAGTCTACACAAATCACTGTGAAGCCAAAAATTTAAAAAAAAAAAAAAAAAAAAAAAAGCTGATTTTGCATTTGTGGCTATAAAAACTGTAGTACTACTCAGGTCTATATATCTACATTCAGGCCCTTGTGGCTCAGTGCCTAGAGGAACAAAGAAGAAAACACAATGATTCTATATAAATGCACTCACTACAGCATTTGAGAGCTCTAACCATTTAGGAAGATGCAAAAACAGAAGGGCCACTTTTTTGCAAGCCCCTGCTTTGCCCAAAAAAAAAAAAAAAAAAAAAAAAAAATTACCTTGGCCCTGACCTGTACATTTTGTTTCAATTCGTTTTTCAGTTGAAAATTTAATTTTCGGAAATTTGGATGTACACATATCTTTGAATGGAAATAGTAACGAATGTCAATGAATCCGAAAAAAAGTTGTAACGAAATTACCAAATGCATTTTTTCATTCAGATGACGTCAAGTGATGCAATAGTAGTTTGGGCCAGGGGAGAACTGACAACTTATGGGGCCCCGGACAATAGGGGATCATGAGGCCCGTGTCCTTGCCCACACTCAAAAAAAGCCTATAAATAAAAAAAAAAAAAAAAAAAAAAAGGTACCAGGGGCATTTCATGGGGCCCCCTACTGACCCCAGGCCCTCAGGCAGTGCCCGAGTGCTCAAATGGTCAGTCCACCCCTGGTTCGGGCCCATGGGGAAATTAATTAAATTTTTACATTTGTTTGATAATTTGGATAACAAATATCAGAATTTTGTTTCATTCTTTAATGATGGCAGTCAATATTATCCAATCAGCTCATGCCATTTCTCTTGGTGGGTTGGACTAGCGTCTGAAAATATTGAATTCTTCCGATTCCAATCCGTTGGATTCAAAAATATATATTGACTATATAGCAGTCTTCCGGAAAAACAGCAACATTTTTTAATCCACCCGAACCAACGAATATACGAAAACAAATGCCGAAGATACAAAGCGAATTTTGAAAACAAATTGGTTCAAATTCTTCGATGAACAAAATGCCTCCGAAATTAAATGAAAATTTCCGGCGTGCACATGTCTAGTCACCGTGCCTTCCAACAGACTTAGTAGGTCTAAATCCCACAAGAATGCACTGCAGCCCATTGCAACAGTGCATGCTCCTGGGATTTCAAGCACCCAGCTATCCCAGAAAATGGTGGTGAGGCAGGGTGACATCATTTGTGCCTCCCAGGACATTGCAGCCCAAGGTAAAAATATTTTTTTTCTGAGCAATCTCTTATCAGATGGCTTTTTAAAGCCATTTGTTTTGGGCAGGAGGGCAGAGGGCTGACAAAAAAAAGTGGACCTTCCCTTTGGCATGGAAGGGCTGCCTTAATGTTGTCCAAATCCCGCAAATAGTAATGTCTAAGGCAGGTTTATTTTCTATTAGAGGCCATATATACGTTACATTTTCAATACTGGAGTGTATTATCTGGGGTCTTTGAGAGACTAATTGCAGATGGAAATCCTAGGACTCCCTTAGCAGATCAGAACTCTGCCTGCAGTATTGGTGGTTGATAGCATGGCATCTCATACCTGTGAAATGTCCACAGTGTTAATTATGGACTGGCTTCCATTTGCAGCTATTGGATGACAGTTACCTGTTTTTGCAGCTCTGAATCAGATTACTCAATATGATTTTTGTACAAGCTACCTTAAAATTATATTACCCCCTCAATTTTTTTTGGAGTATGCAGCTTCCTATCATTCAATCCTTGTCTATATTCCAGTTTAAGCTGGTGCTATGGCCGCTGCTCCAGGTTTCTGGTTTCAGGATGGTCCCTTTTTCTTGCAGCATGCTTTGGAGCCACCCTTGCATGCAGGGGCCAGAGTTGTGTCTCCCTACACTGTGTGCATCAATAGAAACACATAGCCCCCATAGCATAGTATGGCACTTCCTGTGAAGACTGGAAGTTCAGGGAAACAGCACTGAGAGAACAGGATCTAGCAGTGAAAGCTGTATGTGGCAAGTGCTGGCGTAAGAAGGTTAACTAGGTAAAAAGAAACAGACATTCAAATTGTATACCTAGCATCAATCCAATATAAAAGCCGATAATCTGCCTACCCGCCATTTTTTATTGTTGAATAGAGATTCTACTGGATTGCTACATTTATACAGCTGGCTATATTCTAAAAGGATAGAATGCAATGGCCTTTGTCCATTGTGGACAATACTAACCCTTAAATAGAATCTGATTGTAAGTTGTTCATTGTTGAACAGAGCACTTGGTGGATTGTTACTCTGTGCATTAACTGGCTACATGCTACAAGGACACAGCACTATGGAAATTGTTTATTGTGGAGAGGATTGAACTCTCTCCTCCTTTTAAAAAAATAAATAAAAAAGCTGGAAAGCACCTGAATCTACAGAGCCCTGCATTCCATTGAGCATATTGCTGCTATAGCTATGTTAGGATGAGACCTTGATTTTCTCATCCTAATGCCAGATCACCCATACTAAATGGACTGGCGGAAATATCACACAAAATGTGTAGCTAAAAGGTGAGGTATTACCAAAGATAGGATCATGGGCACCTATATCGGTTCTAATTTTTTTTCCCATATTTATATTTTATATAGTCTTTAACATTTTATATTATCTATTGTATATATTTCTATATATTTCTATTTCAGGATAGGGAAACTATATTTCTGCACTAGCTATAATTTGACATTTGGAAATGTGACACAAAATATAAAAAAAACAGTAGCACAAGATAATGTAGTAGATGTGCCAAAAACTAAATATAACAGCAGGAACAATAATAAAAATAGCCACAGAAGATTTCCAGCCACAGAAGATTTCCAGCACACTACGTTTTCCACAAAACCGATCTTTTGGTTGCACTTCTTAAAAAATTGGAAAAAAATTGGAAAATTTTTATGCATAGAAAAGCAGCTCTTGTAATAAAATGTAATGAAATGATCATCATCTGCCTATTCTAGAATGAGGATGAGTTAGAACCTCTGTCAAGACTTGACAGCATACATGTTCCACAGAAATTTTGGAAGTCTAGTAAATCTTTATTTTTGCATGACAACAGCTTACGAGAAAAAAATGAAGGTCCAATGCTCACCCTTTATCAGAGCTTAGATGACTATAATAAGAGAGAAGACTAGACAATGGATGCTCATTCAGGTCACCAGTTGGACTTTTACTGCTGTCCATTACCCCCATTGAGAAATTTCATCAGGCTAGGAACTGAGTGGAAGTCCCTCCAGCATGGACACAGAGCAAAATTAAGCAATTTTCCTTGTTGGCTGCTCTTCTCACGTGCTTAAAAATAGGAGACCTCCTTACATAAGGAATTACGGGTTCAAAATTTCTTCAACGGTTACAAATCTTTCATTCAAACCTTGCCAGTAGAAACTCAATCTATATTGCAATGCTTTCAATATACTCAATGCTATCTACTTAGACTTCTAACCATTGATCCTCCAATTGATATTCCACACCCCTCTTAAATGGAATTATTAACCTAGGGCCTTCCCTCCTTCATTTTGTTTGCTACCTACTAGTCCAACTACCATCTTTGGTGTGTCTAAATATAAGTCATTAGACCCAGCATGGTTAGATCCCAGTCTACACTGACTTACTGTATATGATTTCTTGATCTGACTTGTTGTGTCCATTGTGCTTGTTAATGGTGTTCTCACAAAATTAAAAAAAAAAAAAAAAAAAAAAAAGTGTGTGTGTGTATATATATATATATATATATATATATATATATATATATATATATATATATATATATAAATTATTATCACATATTTTCTTCCCCAGTTGAATAATAGAAACAAACTGCTGATTTAAACTGCCATTGTGGGAATTAAACCAGAAAAGCTAGTCACCTATACTTTATCTGTAAGCAACAAATTTCACGATGGGCAGTTTTCACCTTAGGAGGACAACCAAGCTGAACAGGTAGAAATGATGTTTAAAATATTCTGCATTCAGTCTACTTTACAGTTCCATTTAATGGAGTTCCATTGGAAGTCATAAAGTGGCAAATTATATTTTGGGTTCTGTGACAATCTGTTATGGATTAACAGGAGCTACATGCAAGGATTCATGCAGGGCACAGCTTTCCAGTCCATTTATTATGACCTAAAAGGTCAGGGAGAAAGTGCTGTGCTAAGTCATGCAAGATGGTTTAAAAAATGGCTTTAATTCTTTAACTGATGGTCTTTGACAAAATGGCACCTCGGTTCTTTGGAGCATGACAATTTATAGAGCCATGTGTCATCTGAAGCACAACCATATTAATGGGATACATGAGATGAAGAATGAGTGATAGCATCAAGTATGATCAACAGAGCTTGATGTCTAGTAGAAGCCGGAGAAATGTATGTATTAATTGTCAGCACTGTGATTTGCTGAACAGAAGAGAAGCCATTTTGTGTCCAGAAGGAGGTAACTGGTGCAAGATTTGATCAATGCTTAACAGTGCCACACAGCCACACCATACCAGTCGTACATGCAGTTTTACACAATGCATTCATTTACCTCTCACAAGGACATCCTGGCGGTAGGCTCTGCTCCCAAGGGCGTTGGTGACCTCGCACAAAAATGAACGGTTGACTCGCTCATCCACTTCGTCCACATACAAAATATTTTCCTTTACACGGACAGTAGGTGGAAGTGGAGAACCATCAGCTCTGAGGAAACAAAAGAGTGCAGATTTTTTTTTACCAGAATCTCGTAAGCAGCGAGGAGCTCAGGTATGTTCTAATCCTGGATGGAACCCACCTGAGCAACCAACTAAGAACCTATCATCTGTACTGGGCCAATCTGCAGCCAGGGCATTCCCTGTCCTGCAGCTGCACATATACAATGGGCATGTATACATGCAACTGCAGGGTAGGGAATGTCCTTGCCACTTAGGATTGTCCCAGTACAATGAGGGCTTCCTGGTGTGCTCAATCCTGGTGAGCTTCCTGGTGTGGATTCCATCCAGGATCTGTACATGCCTGAGGTCATTCCTACTCTTTAGATACCATTACCATGCAAGGCTCAGGAAAAAAAGTCAAAACATTTAAAAGATATGGCTGCATTGGGTTCAATAAAAAAAGTTCATAAACCAAGCAACAGATTTCCCTAAAGTAGAAATATAAGAAAAACATTTTAGATAGAGTAAGGGAGGGTTATAACCCCTGGCAGTTTATTTTTTGCTATCTGTGTCCCATTGGAGAGATGTTCCTTCACTTCCTGTCCAATAGCCAAAACAGAACTTCCCTGCAAATTAAGGGAATCTCTTGGGAACCCCCAGGTCACCAGAACTAGTGTTCCCACTGGAAAATTTCCCCTCTTTTACTTTTCTGGGGACAACCCAAAATGTGGGATTTTTTTTTTACTTTCACTTTAAATGATAATGGTAAAACAGGACAAATGGAGAGGGTTGGATCTCCCTAACCAGGACACAGCCGCCATAAAAACTCACAGGTGATCTAATCCCTCTCCAAAACAAAAAAAAAAAAAAATGTCTTTAGTTGTACTTTAACTACCATCTTCCTCGGCTGTCGGGAGCAAAGTGCTCCAAATCTTGGCCACTGAACTAAAATGCAGTTGTGGAGGGTGGATATTAATTGACCTTGCTGTCCTGCACAGGCAAAGGACAGGTTCATTTTAAAGCCAAATTTTTATCCGCTCATCATACAGTTGTTTTCTTGTAATAGCTTATAATGCACATGAATGAGCATTATTATTATTACAAACCAGTTATTCCCCACCCAAGCCTTCCTTTGACTATTCACTTGCACACCGATCACAGGGAGGTGGTAGGGAGATTGACTGTTCTGCTCAATCTCAACGATGTCATCTTGCCATGTAAGAATGAGTCATTTTCCTTTTGAAATTTTAGCCAATTCTTCTATGAGTCAGTGGCAATGTTCTGATATGAGGGAACTGGTCCACCCTATGCTTTGAAAAGAACACATAATGCCTTTTAAAAGATAAAACCTGCTTAATACTGGCTAATGCTTCAGTGTTCGAAAACTGATCTCCACGCATGTGGGATTTTATTGTTTTTAGGCCTTTGTGTAGATTGACCTTGCCCATACACAGACCACACAGGCAGCACTTGAGAATTTAGAACCTTTACCCATCTATACTCACGTTTTCCATATATACGATGTGGGAGGAGGATTGCCTTTAGCGCTGCATGTTAGATAGACGGCATTGCGTTTTAAATGCCAATTATCATCAAATCCTTCAACAGTAACCTCAGGGGGATCTGCAAGAAAATTAAATCAGTTCAAGAAGCTGAAGAGAGAATACGTATAGAAGTTAAGTTTAAGTGCATGTACACCCCAAGGACCCATTTACACTGATGCATTGAGTTATTGCATGGTAAACCGTGTTACACGCTTTGCAAGTGAATGCGCGATTGGCAGTGCACTGTTACAGTGCCATGTGTTCTGCATTGGTGCATAGATGCATTTTTTAGTGTGTTAGGTGCAGTGATAGCCCATTCAAAATGAAGAGCGCCTCTTAATGTGTGATAATGCATTGCATTAACTCAATGCATAGGGTGTATTTACTAAAACTGGAGAATGCAAAATCTGGTGCAGCTCTGCATAGGAGCCAATAATCTTCCAGGTTTGATTGCCAAAGCTTAATTGAACAATCTGAAGTTAGAAGCTGATTGGCTTCCAGATTCTGAGTGTACCAATTTTAATAAATCTCCTCCACAGTAAATTGTACCCTAATTGAATGAAATTTACTGTGAAACACTGTTTTTACATATTTTTTCAACTGTTTGTTGCATTTTACCACAGTTTGTCTCCTATCATCTTGACAGGTTTCCTGATAGTGTGAAGAATGGCACTTGCCTGTGCAATGTGCAACAGCATACTATTTACAGTCTCCATTGGGAGAGCAAGTGATAGGACAACCATACTAGCAAACACTTGGGAGACCATGAAGAAGCATCCTACAATAGAAATGCCTGAACATGCAGGATTTTATTTTCATAAAAATTGCAGATTTATTAATATTTAAAATATACTCATATTTTTAACATGGTAAAGTATATGATATCTTAGTAATTGAATTTGCATATACTTTAAAACATGGAAGGCCTCCCATGCCAACGACATAGTTAAAATTGTAGTTGTAGAAGCCAAAAGGAGTAACCAACCATGAAAAGGGAAGGAAACTGCCTCACAAGATTAGGGACCAGTGAAGATCATTAGTCAAATATTCTGCATCAAAGCACGGAGGGCACTTATTTTGCCAATATTGTTTAGGTTTCTTTTGCATTATGTAATAGCCAAACTCATCTGAGCCAGAGAAAAAGAACATCTAGGATGTAACATGACTTTTTACAGTTTGCATAATGGGTCCTGTCTTGATTCCAACAAATCTCCATTTTAAAAGCAATAATCTGCTTTTTAATTATACTAGAAGTTCTGCAGGAAGCAACACGTTCAAAAGTAATTAAGCAGAGAACAGCAAATATACTGATAAGGCCTTAAGTGTCTTTGGAGTTAAGTTGGCCCCGTTATAGATTTGTTGCTTCATTTGCATTCAGAAAAGACAGCACGGACCTTTGCTTCATTTGCATTCATGAAAAGACAGCACTTACCAGGTGTAGCATCCGCTGCAACTGCATACTACTAATAGGACTGCAGGTGCTGGTTACAAATGATATTGTATGTCTTGTCCAGTGTGGACAGAATGTCTTGCATACAAAAAAATCCCATAGTAAAAGAATGACTACGAGCAGGACTATATTATATCGTATGTATTACACAAGAACAAAAATTGATAGCATTGCGGCTTGCTGGTCATTAGATGTGGTGGCTGCATTAATTTTCTTTTATTCACACTTGTTTTTCCTTTATTATAACTTTTCTAATCCTGTGATCAAGTCACTTCCTGTCCTAGGTTGAGCAGCGTTGTCACCGTAGGACAGGGAATGTGCATGGACTACATAATCCTGTTAGGATTACATAAGACTTCCCTCTATTCTCCATAACCAGGGAAGGCGTTTTGTAGTCCACAGAGATAGCAGAGCACAATGATCACTGAGAACAGTCCACAGAGTACAGTAAATTATGATTTCTGGCTGGATCAACAGATGTCCTTTGCACTTGTTAAACAGATATAATAAAATATTTGTGGTAAAAATTGTAAAAAACCCTCCTAGTCAGGGGTGGACTGACCATTTGGAAACTCTGGCACTGCCCGAGGGCCCAGGGTCAGTAGGGGGCCCCATGAGATGCCCCTGGTACCTTTCTTATAGGCTTTTTTGAGTTTGGGCAAGGACACAGGGGCCCCATGATCCCCTATTGCCTGGGGGCCCCATGAGTTGTCAGTTCGCCCCTGCTCCTAGTTAGGTTTAGGATACTAGGCAAATTTAGTTTGGCTCCTCTGTAGCCAGTGAAGCAGTTGTTGATTGCAGGAGAAATAATCAGACCAGCAGGCTGTGAAACATTGACCAGGCTAAAACATTCTAGAGCATTCTTGAATCACAGTCGGATTTAAAAGGCAGAAGGGCAGTCTGAATATTTATGAGAACCCAGCCCTCCCTTGGGAAGGTGTGCCCAAAATTGGCTGGAGAGCCCATAAATAATCTGAAGCCTGGAGAAGACGGAGTTGGAGTTGGTCCTTGGTTCAGTCCTGTAGGAGAAGCGCCCTGCCTAGGGGCCTCTGCCCCTAAGGGAAGTTGGCTGGAACGATGCTAGAGGGTCAGCGAGGTCCCAGCTGTAGCATAGCTGGGGGGCTATTTTCACAGTGGGAAGAATGCCCCTTACATTGGTGGTCAGTGGAAAGAATGTTCCTTGCATTGGGGGGGGGGGTCACTGGTAAAAATGCTCCTTACACTGGTGGCCAGTAGGAAGAATGCTCCTTGCATTGGTGATCAGTAGGAAGAATGCATTTTACAATGGTATCAGTTGGAAGAATGGTCCTTTAATGACCGCTAAAAAGATCATTGGCATCACGGATTACTCCTCTGAAAAGGCAGAAATTGCTCATTGCTCAAGGAACCCTCAACAGTCTATGGAGAAAGCTTAGGTTTTCACATAAGCCTGGTTGAGAAAGGCTTTTTTAAACAATAGAAAACTTGAGTTATACTTACACTTCACAGACAGCTTCAAAGGTATAGGAACCATTGATGATTCATGGTTGATGTTACAGGTGATGGGTATCCCATCAGCTTGTGATGTCGGCGTCATTACATATCGGCTAACTACTGTGTGTGTTCCATCCGTGTTATTGGTCATGGTGGTGCTAACATTTCCAGGTAGACTTGTTTGCCATGTAATGAGGGATGGAGGCCTCCCATTGGACGATCTGCATGTGGCTACAGTTTGTTCTTCGCCATTAGCTGTAGCCTCAGTGTTCGCCTCAGCAGAATTTTGCGGCACAGCTGTAAGACAGAAAATAAGTGTGTGTCAGGAGCACTGTGAAAATGATTTAGGGAATTTAAAGGGAAGGAATATGGTTGCCTTGCTCAGCGCATCTAGCTTTAGGTTAGAAAACGAAGAAGGCCACCAGGGGCAAAACATTAAAATTTAATTTATAAACTATACAATACTATATTAATTCCATCCATAATGGCCATTTGAATTATTTATCATTTGCAGGAAATAAAAGAGGAAAAAAAAAAAAAAAAAACACACACACACACACTAAACACATTTAAGTGAACTTGTTGGACTTGCTATTGAGCCTTCCTCAAACCAAAACTTTTTAATTTTTTTTTTTTAAAAATCAGATGGTTGCTGCAAAGTTGAGGCACTCACTGTCCGATCATATACTGCTGTGACCCCACCAGGAACATCATGTGATATCAAAACACCAGCCACACCCAGCCAACCATGTCTTTCAAAGAAGTAAACTGTGAAATGCCCTGTCACCTACATGGACTATTGGGTGTGCAAAGTGGTAGAAGTAGGCAATGTATGCAAGGGGAAGAGGGGGCAGGTCTGTGTTGGGTTAGTCCATAGTGAATAATAGCCAGCTAAGTACAGCCACCACCCCATTTGGAGTATGTTAAATGCCATTACGGTTTGTATTTGCTGCAACCATATATGAGAACCTTGCATCAGCAATGGACAGGTTGAGCAGTAAGAGGGCTCTTAAGGACTTGCTTTCAAGTATGCTTCCCCTTTACTACTTTTGTAAGTCACATTATGGTGGGGTTAGAGGGCTGAAAGTATGATTATTGGTACTGGGTGTATACAGTTTGGCTTCAGTGTTGAAGTAGGGAGATAAGCTTCATCCTTTGATTTCTCCAGAGTAGCAAAATTAAATGCAACAGGCACAGTATAATCAATTTTACAAAGCCTAAAAAGGCCCCTTTCACATGGGACAGACTCCATTGAGATCAGCAGGGGATCGGTCCGCTGATCCCCTACTGATCAGGGAAGAACGGGGAGGATGACACATTTGTGTCTGCTCAGTTTCTGCAGAGCGACACGGACAGAACCCACTGTACTCTATGGGCAGCCAGGAGTAAACAGATTCTGCAGTCTGTTTACACTTGACTGCCCTCTGATCTGATCAGAATGGATCCCCTTACATTTTTTCTTCTTTTTTTTTTTTTTGGGACCGGATTGGACCAGAAGTGTAAAGTGTATCCTGACACTTTACACCTACCAGTCCATAGGGGTGAATGGACTGTCCGATTAGGTCTGCCTGAATCCCTTCGTTCAAAAGGAGCCATGTTACACCCTAAATATGGGTGCAATTTTTAACATGGTACAAAAGGTGGAGTTAGCATTTAAAGTCCAAATAAAGTCTCCCACCTTTTTATTTTTTTTTCTATAGTATACCACTGCTTATTATGATTTGTGACTGATTTCTGTTTAAAAAAACAACTTCCTCTCCTCACATTGCAATGCACTGTGCTGGTAGAGCTGAGTCACAGCCACACCCCTCATGTGTCCTTACCCAGATTTGTATTTCAGAGAAGGGCAGTGGAGTGTCTACATCACTGAGAATAATGGGTCGAACTCTGGTTCCTGTAGGATTGACCAGTCATATCTAGACACCTTGCACAACTGTTGTAACATGCTGAAAAATGAGGTGAATACGACAAAGTCTTTCTGGATACCTATCAATTTCTGTGACCTCACCTGGGCTTTAAACAAACTAAATGTGCAGAAATAATACCCAATGTTAAAAATGATTTACCTATGACAGACAATTTTGTTGTGGCCTTGCGGTTACCAGAAGGAAAGAGGGTTACTTCACAAGAATATTCTCCTTCATCAATGGCACGGACTGATGAAATGCGAAGCTTTATGTTTTCTGAAGGATCAATCAGCTCATAAGTGCTTGGGTCATTTATGTGAGTTCCATGTTGAGGACTGTAAACAGCTATGTTGTTGCCATTTTTTTTTCCCACATTATCTGGCTGACGTGGATTTTGGGGTCGTTGCTGCTGACAGTGCATGGCAAATTGACTTCCTGCCCGATGATACCGGTCACCTTGTCTTGGACAAAGATCTGCTGGGCCTGTAAGACTGAAAGTTGAGAAGCCAGTCAGTATGGCAGAGGGTAATAATAAAGTACAATATTAATAAAAGAAAGTTAGGCATATATAGGAACTAGTTTGGCAATGTTTTTGAAGAACAGTTATAATAATATTAAAATAAAACGGAGGACCTGACTGGCTGTTGGTAGAGTCAAGAATAGCTCTTCCTTCAGATATGTTGGATAAAGTCCACTGTATCATAATGCAGTCTAGAACATATACAGGGCCTATCATTCAAACGTAAACCAAATGTTACAATTGAGAATAATTGACACTCTTGTACTGTGCTGTAGCATCATCTGATGAGATGTGAGATGCTCAGCATTTCCTGGGATCTCATTGGAAGATGGTGACATCACCCCCTGCATTATGAGGGGAAACTTTTAGAACAGTTAATTGCAAGGTGGTGGTGGTAGAGTGAAAAAGAAAGGGGGGAAGCAAAGTAAATAAAAACATCCTTAATTACAAAAATACAATATGGCAGTATCCCAGAGGGTACTTAATATTGCCTTGCTTACAAAATATAGCCACCCCCCAAGGGATTGAGCAATGTAACTATGTGACAGAGAGAGCATGCGCAATAAAATATAGGTCTCTTACGCAAAAAGAGAATAAATAGCCAAGATCAAATCACACAATTTTTCACCATACTGGAAAGTCTCTCCATCCAAACCATCAGAAATATTAATGCGGAAAATGTAAAGCCTAAATGATAGCCAAAAAAGGGTAGAGTGCAAATTCTGGTACAGCTCTGCATGGTAGCCAATTGGCTTCTAACTTCAGCTTGTTCAATTAAGCTTTGACAAACAAAAGGAAGCCAATTGGATTCTGTGAAGAGCTGCATTGGATTTTGCATGCTCCAGTTTTAGTAAAAACAACCCCATTATTCAATTGTATTTTGGCTGACAAACAAAAAGCTTTATTGCAGCTTGGCGGATGCTTTAGTTCTCTTTTTTCCTTTTTCCCCCCACCTGGTCAATCTGCCAATAATACACTTCCCGTCCTAGAGTGTCCAATGCTCATTCACTACTCTGTATCTATGAAATAGTCACGGAGTCACCCTAGGACAAGATATGTTTGGAGTACAGAGCTTCTCAACAGCTCCTACTCTCCCTAACAGAGATACTAATGTTCTCCATAGGGAGCAATGCTAAATGACAGTGCAACACATGCAAAGAGCACAGGGAGCCAAAAGGTTTTGTAGCAGGACCATCAGGGGTTTGTTTTGCACCTACTGAACGGATACTCTATAACAAAAAAAACTTATTTCGGTAGTATAATATACCAAAAGGTAGTAAAATAAGAGAAGCTAGTTGTTGGGGTATACATACAGGTTAAATTCCAATCTTTGCATATTGATAATTGGACAACGAGGTACTACTTGCAAAGTTTGGACCAACACAGGATCAGCACCGGACAGCTCCTGGAATACATGCAATAAGTGATCATTGTTCATTTAAGCCCGCTACTCATTTAAAATGAACAGCGCACATAGATGCGGTATTTATACCACATTTAATTATGCTACACTGCATTCAAATTTCCCTTTAACTACTCGTTAGGAATCAACGATACGCACCATGCGTTGCTGAGCAATTACAAGTGTGAATACTGCTCAGTTGAACAATCTTTCGTGAATTGAGGCCTTTGTAATATTTATGAAGGCTATCTATCACTGGGCTTCCTGATGCCCCAGATTTCCAAGAAATATCCAATTTCTTACAAAGAGAGAACGTTTTTTCATGGAAAGGAGACAGAAAGTGAATTGTTGGTACACGGCTCATATAACCTTTTTACAGCATGAAGCGTTTTCCCAGAAGGCATAGTGTCACGTTTATGGCCCAAGCGAAAGAATTGGTCTCTAATGTACCTAGAAGCCCCATTAAAACTAAGGAATGTAAATAAATTGTAATTGAAGGGCAGACTCTGTAATTTTGACTTGTAACAGTAATGCCCTGGAATTTAAACTCAGATCTTGCTGCTTGCTTCCATTCCCTTTTAGTGCTGTATATTTATATAAGGTGGTTTACATAGTGCAGAGGCAGAACAGATGGGAATAAATCAGCTGTAAACCAATCAACGGTAGGATAAACTGTAGCTTTTTAGGTCATAGCATATACAAGTATATTGTAAAACTTTGGAACCAAAGAGCTGGAATTATGGAATTTTAGTCCTTTACCAGCCTAAAGGGAATGCACAGACATTGCAAAAGATCTAATTCACCTATAAAATATTATCAATGTGTGATTAAGCTGAACTCCATGATCATGATATTTTTGGGCATAAATATGGTATAGTGCATCTTCTTGGTGACCAATTTTTTCCCCATATTTTGTCTTTCTACACTATAAAAGGCCTGCCATTTGGTTGTCAATGAATTGATTAATCTTTTCAAATACTACCTTCAGGCAGGCAAGCTATGGTAGGTGCAGTGTGAGGACATCATTTTGGACAGTAAATCCCTGCAGAAATTATCCCTCTACTCACCGTCCATCTCTACCTCCTCTGTTCATTTATTCAAGAGGATTACAAGCCAAATGCAGCTGGCGATCTTGTAGTCAGTCTTCAAATCTCTCTAAGTGTAAGTGTGTAAAATGGGAAAAACTGACTAAAGCCTCTGCCACCTTCCAGAAGAAGAATGACTGAAGGCCTCTACCAACTTCCAGAAGAAGAACGGCTGAAGGCCTCTGCCACCTTCCAGAAGAAGAATGGCTTAAGGCCTCTGCCACCTTCCAGAAGAAGAATGGCTGAAGGCCTCTGCCACCTTCCAGAAGAAGAACGGCTGAAGGCCTCTGCCACCTTCCAGAAGAAGAACGGCTGAAGGCCTCTGCCACCTTCCAGAAGAAGAACGGCTGAAGGCCTCTGCCACCTTCCAGAAGAAGAACGGCTGAAGGCCGTTGCCAAAGTTCTTACTTAACATAATCAGAAAGCAAACTTTCCCCTTTGGTCTACCTGTCAAGAAATCAACTCCTGATCTTAAACTGGCTACAACTCATGACTTGATTTATGTAACTTGTCAAAACAAATCATTTTTTTTTCATATCGCAGTAATCTGAGTGCTTGACTTTCTGTTGGACTCTACTGCAAAATTTGATAGTGGCACGAGGCTAGCCAAAACTTGGGAAACACCAGCATTTTCTACAATTCTGTTTTATTAGCCCTTTTGATCTCCCATGAAGTATTCCAGATTTGAGATCCTTCTCATGATCATACATGCATGCACTCTGAAAATGTGGCATGTATCCACAAGCTTACATGCAGCAATTATCAGGCCTGCACGAGCTGGCTGCAGATATGTAAATGAAATGCCTCAGGAGGGAAAAGATCTACACGCTTTATATACCTCTGAAGTATTTAACTCAGCTTGGCACTCCAACTCCACTTCTTGCAGTGAAAGTGGGGGGGAGGGTGGATGTCTCCTAGAAACCTACAAATACAATGAAAAGCTGTACCCAAGCAAAGAGATCTTGGATAAAAGAAAGCTTGCCTGGGTGAGGCTGATACAACAACAAACATCTTCAGCCAACTGGGGGTAGCCTGCTATCAGCAACAGATCCTAAATAAGGTTTTTAAAATGCTCAATTCATTAACTGTATAAAAGTACCTTAAATGCCAAAAGCCAAGACCAAATGGAATGCAGGCCATCTGTCAAAGCCAACTCCGAAAACAGGACTTGTTATTTTGTAGTAGCTAGTGGGCTACATGTATCATGCCAGATTCTATAGGTCTTTCTCAGAGACCACTACGGCAAGATATTCGTGCAGTGCTTTTGTCCTCCCTGCTATTCTTCCCTCAAAGCTTTCATACTTTACTCTGTCTGACCTAGGCAACTGTCTCAAATATTTTTGTAATTTCAAGTATATCAGGGAGACATTATTCATGACTAGGTTTCATGAGGACTGCACATTTAAGGCAGGGAAAGATTGAGTATACCTGACCATTAAAAGTGCCTGAAAGTCGATGAGTGACTCCAGCAATCAAGCCAAATATTCGATTTTGGTGGAGTTTATATTTTACACACAAGGCAGTGCAATAACACCTCTCAGCAAAGTCAAAAAGATATTTCCCAGTGTGTGGCAGACCTCTCAGTTCTTTTAATTTCCCAGTGTTACATTTGACAGAGTATTATTGTAAAGCAGGACAGGACATATATAACAGCCTTTCATTTTTGACACACTCACATGAACAAAAGGACTGGCTACAGTCAATCTTCAGAAGCATTGTGCTAGGATGAGTAATAAAAATCCCCCACCCCCCACTTTATAAGGTTTGTGCATTCCAGATAAGCAATATGGGCTGACCACAAAAGACTTTTCACCTTCTGGAGATGATAGAATGTCCTGCTATCATACATTTAGTGAACCACTGATTTACCCATGAAGTGCAATGCAAAAGCTTCAGTTAGTCACTTTCTATCCGCATACCCTCACCTTCCCTTCACTTCCCTGCCACTCCATTCAGCTGCTTGAAGCAAAATACCTGGTATGCTAGGGAAACAGGGGCGGACTGACAACTCATGGGGCCCCCGGGCAATAGGGGATCATGGGGCCCCTGTGTCCTTGCCCAAACTCAAAAAATCCTATGAAAAAGGTACCAGGGGCATCTCATGGGGCCCCCTACTGACACTGGGCCCTCGGGCAGTGCCCGAGTTTCCAAATGGTCAGTCCGCCCCTGTAGGGGAATGTAATGCTACCTACCATCTTCCCCCCTGTGCTTTGTGCATGAGTGGCCAATCGCCAGAGCCCAACACCATCACTAAGCAGTTGGGGAAAAAGTCAGTTAGCCTTATGTAAGCTAATTTTGAAGACTTCATATACAAACTATAGTCTCCCACTTGGACTTTTTTACTGGTTGAGCAACAATGTCTAAGAGTCCAAATAAGCATTCTTTGGTCACAAAGTGATCGGGTAGCTTGCAGTCTGTGTGCAGCTTTCTCACCCACCTTCATGCTCGAAAAACAGGAGGGCTCATGCAATATAAGATATGCTTGCCACGGTTCTCAAATGTGTCTGGGTGAC